CCCCGGACAGCGTACCTATACCCATAGCCCAGCCCCGCCGTGCACCGTAACTATACCCGTAGCCCAGGCCCGCCGTGCACCGTAACTATACCCGTATCCCAGGCCCACCGTGCACCGTAACTATACCCGTAGCCCAGGCCCGCTGTGCACCGTAACTATACCTGTATCCCAGGCCCGCCGTGCACCGTAACTATACCTATATCCCAGGCCCGCCGTGCACCGTAACTACACATATATTGTTTACAGTTGACTGTTTCACAGTTTCTAATTTTTTGAAGATACAGAATCTTGGGGAAGACCCTTTTAAAATCGGTCTTCACACATATGCATAAAAGCAGTCCCAAGGCTCGGGAATATGAGAGAGGCAGGCATTTTGAGGGGAACCTTCTTATCCATAGGAGTAATGATGAATGGAATTGAAACAAACCCCCAAAACTTGAGAGTACCCGTGTTGGAAGTCCAGAGATGGAAATTAAGTTTCCTCTCAGAAATGGGCCTTGTATTGTGTCACTGGGGACAATGGAAATAGAAGCCAGAAGCCATAGTTTATTTTGAGAATGTTGTAAAGCAGTTGTCCCCCACTGGATGATTGTGTTACGCAGTATTGAGGAAGTCCTGGACTGCACTTGTGCTCTGACCTCCCCCTTCACCATCGTTCACCCTCAGCCTCCAGGGAACACAGTCTTTCCTGGCTGTTGCCATATATATATATGTTCTTATTCCAGTCTGATCCTCTCTCAGCCCCAAAATAATCCGCATGAGCAGAATGAAGCAGATGGCACGAGCCTTCTTTGGCATACTGGCAGATCTGTATCACTCACTCAGTATTTTTAGAATCAAGGGGACTGAAAATTATGTCCTGAGATGTTTTGGGGGAAGACTTACTATCTTTCCAGGGTGACAGGTGTTGAAATAGCACCGTAGTGAAGACTCCAAGGCGATCTGAATTTCAAGTCACAGGACAGACTGACTCTCATCAGGACCATCACTGGGTCAGGTCTTCGTCAGGATTGGTGATGAGCCCGATAATAGGCAGGAGTCGTAAATGTGGCTTAAGGATGTGGACAGCCTGAGCATCGGGTTTCAAGCAAAGGCCGGAATCAGCAGTATAGAGCCGGTCCTGATCGAGACCATGGTGCTAGGAGATGTTGTATGTATCAGTCCACAGGGTTTATTTATTTATTAATAGCCAGGCTTTGATCCCCAACCCCAAAGAGTTTAGTCTGTTGGGAAAGACAATCTTATGTGTGTAGAAGTTTGTGATTATAATCATAAAAATGCTTGTATTCTCAGGTCTATGTTTAGGAAACGGTGATTGAAATGTTACAAGTATTTATGAACTTGAAGTCCTCATTAAAGACTTCCTGAAGCAACTGGAGAATGTTTACTCTCATGTAATTAATTCAGCTCAACCTTGGGGACCAACTTGGCACTTACTGTTAGGTTAGGCATACTTAAGAGAAACCTGAAATTCGACAAGATTAAATTTTGAGAAAAGTGATTCATTAAATAAGTAGGTATAAAAATGTTCAAGAGACTTAACTTTGATTTGGTTTGGGTCTTTGAAAGTTTGGGGAACTTGAAGTTGGAAGAAATGTGCCTCTCCTTGAAGTAAAACCTGCCATGTCTAAAACTCTGATTTTACCCACCCTCTTTGAAGACCCAAGAAAAACGTAGGTGTGGATGATGTCCAAGACAGTCAGACTTTAGAATCTGAGCAAGAAGTGGCTGGAAAGTTGATCTGGAAAATGTTAGTCCATGCCAAAGGGCATTTTAAAAAATGGAATAAATCCTATTTTGCTTTGTACTCCCAGTGTGTTGGGAAGCAGTCAGCTGAGGTTTACATGTGCTGAGAATCAAAGAGCGAGGGTACGCTTGCTCCTCTGTGTCCTCTGCATGCATCTGTCCACACGACTGCATCCGTCCAGTACGAGTGAGTGGTGTGTCACGT